ACATGTAAACGTGTAACACTGAGCGTGAGTGTGTGTGTGTGTGTGTGTGTGTGTGTGTGTGTGTGTGTGTGTTGTTCCTCACCCTGTCACTGTTCTTGTATTTGTCCCACTTCTTCACCATCTTCAGCCACTTCTCCACCCTCTCGATCTCCAGCTGCTTCCTCTGAGGTGGAGACAGAAACAGGTTATCACTCAACAATACTAATGCAGGTTCTAAGGGTGTAGCAGCTAATGTAATTATAATGTTACTTATCAGATTTACTAAGGCTAGATCAACTCAAAATAAATTAGTTTAATTGGAGGGCCGCCGTTTGCTTGACTTTCCTCCTTTTCTTCTGACTGCAAAAACTTCTGTGGGACTCAGGTGGAAGTCCATTCCTTGGTGTGTCTTTGTATTCAGAACAGAGAGGATTCAGAACGTACCCTGTTGTCAGGAAACATTTAATGATAACGGCAACATATGTGCAACGGCAGTGAATTTCCCCCCGTTTTCAGTAAGGACGGGTTTGGAAAGATAACGTGCGAGCTAGCTGTCAAGCTATAGGAAGCTTATTTACGTATTTCTGTGTCTGGGCGTGATTACGTTTAGTTGTCTCCTTTGTTGGACAGCTGGTTTTAAATTCACCAGTGGGGTATTTATTGATGTATTTTATGTCGTAGAACAAAACGTTAGAATTTCTTCAGCTTGTGTTAACACAGGCCTTTATTCAAGCTAACAACCAAAAACACATTCAAAAAGCCACTGACTCCAGACCAGGGGACAGGAAGTGATACAATTCTGACTTATTTCAGGTTTTAGGACTCATTCCTGCTCCACTCTGTTGACACCTGACACCTGATCTCCTCCTTTACCTTTTCCTCGTGTGCCGTCGGGGCCGGCAGCTCGTCTTCACTGAAACAGAGTAAGAACCGTCAGAGACTCACAGGGAGCTGCTGTCTGCATGTGGGCAGAATACAAATCACCGACTCACTGCATGAAGCCGAAGCGGTCGATGACTTTGTAGATGCTGAAGTCGGGATCTTCCCAGGGGTCGATCTGCACCCCGCCCTGCCTGCCCTGCACACACACACACACACACACACACACACACACACACACACACACACACACACACACACACACACACACACACACTACACAACTAC